ATTGAGTTTACATTAAAACAACAATAAAAGCAGCAACAACATATTGTGTGAATTAGGTACTTTTTTATTGATGTGAAATTGTAGCAAAAATGTCAGTGCACTTAACAACAGTTGACATTTAACATAAATACATGAAGTAAAACATATGTGATGAAGACTAAATTCCAGTGAAATATCTTCACAATCCTCAATGATGCCTGTAAGTCCATCATTTTGGTGTGACTGAGTGGCAGTTTCTCTCTGCAGTGGATGAGGTTGTTGGATGTGATGCATCCGAAATACACAATTGAGATTAGAGTTACAGTGTGTCCATTTGTTTATGCAAAAACAATAATGTCTATGAAGGCCAAAAGCAAAAATGGACAGAATATGAGCCCTTCACAATGTTAAAAGGAAAAAAAAGTGATATAAAGTCATGGGATAGCTTTAATATTGTTTTGTGACTAGGTATGTCTATGCATAAACCCAAGTAATAATTACATTACATTACATTTACATTTAATCATTTAGGAGACACTTTTATCCAAAGCGACTTACAAATGAGGGTAATAGAAGCAATCAACACGACAAAAGAGCAACAATATATAAGTGTTGTGACAAGTCCCGGTTAGTCTAACGCAGTACACATAGCAAGGTTTTTTTTATTTATTTTTATTTTTTTTATAATAAATAAACAGAATAAAAAGTAGATAGAAAAGAAATAGAATAGACAGAGCTAGTGTTAGAGGGTCAATTATTATTATTTTTCTTATAATAATTAAAAAAGAAAACAAGAAGATAGAATAGAGAGTTCTAGTGTTAAATTAAATTAAAAAAAAATTCTAACATTATGTATTATAAATTCAATGTCTCTGTTACTTACTTAGTGGAGAAGAGGAGAGAAGTATTCTCAGCTGAACAGAGCTGCTCACACTTAGATATGACCAAAAAACTAAAAAGAGAAAAGAACATGTTTGTTTGGAAACCAGTTACAATTTTAAAGTTAAATTTGTATTTAAATTAAAGAATGAAATCATTTACCTGTTTAGAGTGTATTGACAGTCTGTAGTTGGATCACTGAGCTCCAGAAAATCAGTAATGAGGAGCTTTGACAGTTACAGATTTAAAAAACAAAAAGGGCAGGAATAAAGAACCCTAAACTCTTACACAAAGAACCATTTCAGCATAAAAGGGTTCTTCAGGATGCTATGGTTCTAAATAGAACCGTTACTACATATAAATAACCTTTAAATAACCATTTTTTTGAGTTATCACACACACTGTGCTCTGGTTTATAGCACACAGTTTGCCAGCTGTAATATGTAGGTCATCCAGCTATTTCATCCATACTGTCTTGCATACTATGCACAGCACACGCTATACTGTATAATAGTATGCTATTTCATAGCTGTGTGTGTTGCCTAGGTTCTTTAGATTAATAAAACGTTGACAGACTAAGACAAAATGGTTCTTTCAGAACTGTTCACTGAAAGGTTCTTTGAGGAACCAAATATGGTTGTTCTACGGTCCGTCACATTTGCAAGTGTTGACGTGTGTTGACCTGCTGACATTGAGGCCGACCAAACCATTTGTGCTTTAGAGGGGAGTCTGTTACGCATATACACTGTGTTTATTTGTAAACAATTGTATGTTTTATATCATTATTTTTCTGGTTTAAATGTTTGACATGTTAAATATGTATATATACAAGTAGTATATATATTTTTTTACAGATGTGAATATATTTAACATACTTACCATGCTTAGCTGTCAATGATAGCGTCCAAAACACTGTGACTTTGTCTCTCAGTAGACTGGATGAAGGAGTGAGCTCCAGTAGTGCCATGAACGAATCAAAAACCACCTTTTTATACTGTAAAGTATAGTGTGGATATGTGAGTAGGCCTATATATTTTTGTTTTGTTTTGATGGTTTTTACTTTATTTTCTTCTTTTGTATTTGTAAATGTATTGCATTTCATGGTTGTTTCATGCTACTTCACTGTAAATTAACAGTGAAAATGTTCTTCACACTAAGAAAATAAGGTTCTTTCAAGAATTGATGACTGAGGCTGCGTCTGTGGCATTGCTGCAAAACCCCCATTTTGAGTGTAGTGTTTGAGTGTGAGTGTAGTGTTTTATATTAGTAATGTTATCTAGCAGTTATGAATGCTGTCTGAGAAGGGCGCACACTAGGGTTTGGAGCAAAGCTCCAGTAAAGCTTTGGAGTGGTTAATTCTAAAGATAGAATGAGAGAAAGAGCTGATGCATAGAGAATGAGAGAGAGAGTGTTTTGTTCCCTGTGTATGTCTGTGTCAACACATAGCTGGTGTTTTTTTGCCAGCTGGATTTTACGGCTACTGTCTGAACAGATATTCCTCTGGTGTCCCAGTGAATGAGTTATTTAGGAAAAGGTCAGTGGCGCTTTGCAAAAATCAATCATAGCTGCTTTTCCCACTCGACTCTAGTGGAGAAGAAATCTTTGCCATCGAGTGGTGTGGCTGAAAGCGAGAGAGATACTCTGGTCATGTCAGTTTGACACTGTAAGCAAAATTTTCTCTGTGACAGTGTGTGAAGTGAGTCACCAATGCACACCGAGTCTCCATCATGTCAGTGTGTTTGGCACTTCTTACACACTAGGAGGTCCACGCTGAAGAAACATGTTGATAAAATGACATGTTGGCTGCATGAACCACAGCACTCAAAATGATGCCTGTATGAATGCTAGCAAGCTCAATGGGACGACTTTATACAGCATGACAACAGGTCTTGAAATGTGCTGTTGCTGTGGCATCTCAGCATCGTTTTCCTGTAAAGCAATAGTGGAAATCATTTAATCATCCTCATGTCATTCAGACCCGAATGACGACAGGACAATACATTGCCCATTGTCCAAAATGCACCATAACAGTACACTGTAAAATGTTTTTTTTTTCTTTTTCTTTCAAACTTATAAATAAAACAACTATTTTGGAGTATGTTTCACAAGAAAATACAGTAACACTTTGCTTTAAAACCTTTATGTATAATGCATTATAATTATGCCTTATAATGCACCTTATAATGCATTGTACAATCTCATTCATAATTGTAACCACAGTTAAAACATTATAACACTTATCAATTCATTGTTACACTATGCATTTCAAATTTGGTTTACATATTATAAATAATTACAATGCATTATACCCTTTAATAACCCTATACAATGCATTATACATAAAGGCTTTAAGTAAAGTGTTACCGAAAATACTATTTAAGTTGTTCTACTTAGAAATACACTGGGCCCTATCATACACCCGGCGCAATGCAATGCCAGGCAAGTGTTTTTTGCTAGTTTCAGCCCGGTGCAGTTATCATTTTCATGTACAGTGCCACGTTGTTTAAATAGCAAATGCACTTGCGCCCATCTTTTTGTGCATGGGCGTGCTGGTCTGAGGTGTGTTCAGGTGCATTGTTGGCGCATTGCTATTTTGAGGCAAATGAAAACAATTGCGCCATTGTCCAACTAAAACCTGGTCTAAAGTGAATGGCGAAGTATTTTTTTTTATTCAATGGGCACGTTCGTATTATGCACCGCAGGTGCAAAACGTGCATAAACTCTGCTTATTACACACACAGGGACGTGCAGCAGCACACAAACATGCCAGATATTAAAAATGAAAGGGTTGCAATGTAAAAGATTATTATTGTGTATGCTTTAATCTCGTGCACGAGCAGATCCGTTTCCTCTCTGGAGATGCGTTCAGTCTTTGCTCTTCCAAATTTTGCCATGTAAATAGCAAATCCGCCATGGTGAGGGAATGGGAGATGAGCCACTGATTGGTTTATTGCACGTTATGCCCAAAACACACCCATGGTTTAATAAGAGAATAGGTACAACCCTTTTGGACCATGCGCCGACCATTTTTTCCGTTGTTAAACTAGCAAAAGTGGATTCGGCCTAAGTGCACCTGCGCCATGCGCTTCAGACCATGTGCTTAGATCGGTGAAATAGGGCCCTTATAGGGGCAAAGAGGGCTCGAATTTTGTATTACAATGTTTCCGGAAATTGTATGTTTGAATATGCAAATTAGGTATTGTCTAAATATGCACACATTTGCATACATTTCCAGAAAACAAATCTGAATACTGGAAAAAAAAAAAAATCAAGTGCTGTTTTGTTTGTTGACAAAGCAGAGTTTAAGGTTTTTAAAGCGGATTTTTTGATTATTTTCGTCACTCACTTTATCCTCACAAAAAAACATTAACAGACAGGGGATAGATAGATAGATACATAGATAGATAGATAGATAGATAGATAGATACATTAATAAATAAATAAATAAATAAATAAACAAACAAACAAACAAACAAACATGTTTTTAGGAAGTAAAATGCTTATTAAAATCAGGCAAATTATAGAGTATAAGAACAACTCCTACTATAAAAACATTCAGAATATAGATAGGAATTAAACTGAAAAGTTTTGAAAAGAATGAAAAGAGCTGATGAAGAATGTAAGAGCTGATGAAGTGGACAAAAAACTCACAGCTTAAAAAAATGCTATGAGATTAAAATCTACAGACACAAATGGATAAAGTGCAATAATTAAAATTAAGCAAATGATGTATGAACAAACCCCTGAGTAAAACCCTTCAGAATATAGATAGGAATACGACTGTAAAGTTTGGTTTATGTAAGTGTTTCTGAAATGGAGAAAAAAACTCTTTAAAAATATAGATTGTAAATTAAATCTATAGATGCACATATATAAAGTGATATAAAATAAACATAAATGTGTTTTCTGTCAGGTTTGCCGTCAGTGATGATGCACTCAATAAGACACGAGTGTCTTTGATGTCATATTTGAGTTGAATGAGAAGAAAGGGAGTCACAGAATGACACGAGAGCGAGTAAATGATGACAGCATCATTCTTTAAAGTGAATGGGTGTTTGAGAGTGTGATATTTTAACTCTTGGCATCTGAAAGACAGGAAGTGAAGTCTTGCGTTAACTAACCATATTGCTCTGTGCCATTAGGTGAGGAAGCTCTCACCATGTACATGGCCAAGAACAAGCTGGACCGGAAGATGGTCAACGCCACCCAAGGAGTCGAGGCACTGCACCAGCTCGCCTCCTCATACTTCATCGACCGCGATGGCACCATGCGCAAACTCCATGAAATACAGATCTCCAGCAACTCCATCAAGGTAAGCAAAAAAGAGCGACGGAGAGGAATAAAGTCAGAAAGAAAGAAACATCCTCCATTATCCGCCCACCGTCCATCTGTCCGTGGAGCTTTTTCTTGTTGGAGTTGACAGGCCGCTGAAGAGCTCCTGGCAGACAGGGCTCGAGGTAGCAGGAAGTCAAGCATGACAAAATTAAACGGAATTGACAATAGCTGCTGAGTCAGGATGACAGCAAGCAGCAGACGCAGCACTTGTGCTGCACTTAAATATAGACACAGGCCTAAGAACGACTGACCTGACAAACTAGTGCAAATCTCCATGTGCATTTATGCTCACAAATGTTTCATCAGCGTGCTTTGTCTATGTTTGTGTGTCTCTATTAAAGTGGTATCCCTTGTGAAAAAAAAAAATGTGTTTAATTGTACTGAATGTGCAGTTGTAGTGTACTTAAATATCCTTTCAAAAAGTGCACTTTAAAATAATGTAAACTTGCATTTTAAGTAATTCAGTTCAAAATGTTGTCGTGCTTTAAAGAAGTACACTTATTTTGATGTGTTGACATCAAAACACTAAAGCACATGGAAAGTACTTAATTATAATTTTAACTATAGTGTGTTATTTGATATTACATTTAAATTTAATATATTTTAAATGTACTAAATTGGAACTTCGTTATTACAAATGTGCAATTTGAAATATATTTAAATTCATGACATACAATTTTCAATAGAACAGAATAGAAGCTTATTTTAGTTTATCATATTTCAAAGATAATAGAATTATGAAATTACATATAAAGATGCACTTAAGTAAAAAAAAACACTCTAAGGTTCAGCTAATTGCATTTAATATACATTTAAACATGGTGCATTTTCATTTAGTACAGTTTCAAATTCAGTTTGCACTTACAGTTTTTTACGATCGCTATGACATTTTTTTCAATACTTCTAACAATTTTCCTAAACTCTTAACGCACCAACACACCTACAACACACAACTGACAAAACAGTTAATTTCATGCTCAAAATCACACATTGCAAACTAAACTTCAACACTAATTTTCAAATTACAATAATACAATTTTCCTAAACTCTTAACGCACCAACACACCTACAACACACAACTGACAAAACAGTTAATTTCATGCTCAAAATCACACATTGCAAACTAAACTTCAACACTAATTTTCAAATTACAATAATACCTTAACACAATACACTGCATCTACCAAAACACTGCAAACATGACTCAAAATCAAATCATTATTCCAAAACACTAACACATGTTCTCTTCCAACAGGAACATTTAGTCAATCATAGCACAATATCATAAAAACACTAACATCAAATGGAATTACAGAAACTGCATTATTTTAGGTGTCAGGTCTGACCTTATACAATAGGGTATTGGGTAGGATTAGGGATGTAGAATAAGGTCATGTAGAATAAGGCATTAATATGTGCTTAATTACTACTAATAAATGGCTAATATTCTAGTAATATGCATGCTAATAAACAACTAGTTAAGAAATAAATAACTACAAAATAAATACAATTAGATAACTTTATAATTCAGTTTTAACTTGTAATAATTACAGTTAGAGAGCATTTATTGTAATAATTATAATTGGGGAGCTTTCTAATTCAGTTCTTACTTGTAATAATTTTGATTTAGATCGCATTCTAATTCAATTCTTACATGTTATAATTACAATTAGAGAGCTTTCTAATTTAATTCTTACTTGAAATAACTACAATTGGAGAGCTTTTTAATTCAATTTGTGTAATAATTATAATCAGAGAGCTTTCTAATTCAATTATTACTATTAGCAATTACAATTAAAGAGCTTTCTAATTCAATTCTTATTTGTAATAATTATAAAAAGAGAGTTTTCTTATTCAATTCTTGTAATAATTACAGAGCTTTCTAATTCTTCTCTAACTACTAATAATTACATTTGGAGAGCTTTCTAATTAAATTCTTGTAATAACCACAATTGGAGAGATTTCTAATTCAGTTCTTGTAATAATTACAATTTCATTTTTTTTTTGTCTTTTGTAGTTCAATTCTTACTAGTAGCAATGTAATTACAGCAAATCATAGCATAGCGTCAGTTCTGGCAGGTCAGGTTAGTCAAGCTCGCTTCAGCTGACTCTCAGCTGATCCACGTCTACCTATAGGGATGCGACACCTATCACAGCACTCATATATAAGGTCTTTCAATACTATCACCAGCTTCACGTTGCTCAATAGCTAATTACACACCTCCATCCCCGACTCCTCCTTGTCTTCTGATTCTCCTTGAATCAGACTAATTTCAAAATGATACATTACATTTTTTAACCTAATGATATCTGCAATATATTTATGTATACATTTATGTTCTGTTCTGTTACACTGGGAGGTTATTGTTACTCTCCTGCTCTTATCGGGGAGGGGTATTGCTGCTCTCCCTGCTCTTATCCATGCTAGACTGCATGGATGCGCAGGGAGTTCTTGCACAGTACAGAACCATGCCGCCAATCCAGACTGTATGCTAATTGTCAGTCATCTTTGATGACAGTGGTCCTGACAGAAGTAAAGTTGGGAGCATTTTAAGCTAAACTGGTTTGCCATAAGCATTCTCCTAACATTCTCCTAAACATCTGCTTGTGTGCTTCACAGAAAAGAATGTTGTATGTGTTTGAAATGAGGGTAAATAAGTGATGGCAGAATGCTTGGGTGAACTATTGCTTTAGACTTCAGTCTCCATGTGACATTATTGATGTTTTTAGACAGTTTCATTTGTAAAATTATACACAAAACCAATAATAAAATGGGAACCTTACAGCTGATCTTAAGGTCAGTCCAGTTTTATTTTTATATATTTCCTATTAGAGCTGGAAAACATTACTGCCTGAATTAATTTGAAGTAGGTTTGTTGTCTTGATCTGGGGGGCTTTTACTGATAGAAAACAAACTCATTAAAGAAACATAACAGCACTGAAATGCAGCGAACACAAAGAATTCATATAGCAAGCAACACACGGAGCTCATTAGATGCAATGACCCGAAGAGATCACAGGCAGAATACTTAAATCTCAGCTTCTTGTATTTACAGATTTTTTTTTATTTATTTTTTTAATGCATGTGCATTTTTGTATGTTTTACAGTTTTTTACGATTGTTTACACACTAAAATAAAAATTTCCACACAATTTGCAAAATTCTACTCCAATGAGCAAAACACCTCCACAGATTTGCACAACATTACACACAATGTCACAATCTAGGAGTTATGCAAATTGAGTGTGGTGTTTGGATAATTGTGCTTATATTGTGAAAAAAAGAACCCGGTTTTCAAAATTGCGTGTAAACAATTGAAAAAAACTGTATGTGATATACACATCAAATGAGAAATGAAGGCAATCAGCTTCATATCCCACAGAGAAGCAGATTCATCCTGACAAATGTTTCTCGTTTTTCCCTGTTGGGAACGGTTTAAGAATAAAATTAAGATCTCGCCTAAGAGCTTTAATAAAAGGTGCACTTTTATGATTGGGTGTTTGGATTGACAAAGCCTAGATTGATGCTGTGAGAGAGAGAGCTGTGTGATAGTTGCCCCTCAAGGTCATGTCTTCCTCTCGCAAATGCTTTCAGCTGATTTAGTTTTAAACTCCATATGCAAATTTATGATGATGCAGCGAGCAATTCAGAGGATATCTATTTACAAATCTATTGGTTAGCCAGGATCCAGTTTTAGTTGCTATTCAGCAGTGCGTTCCCAAAACAGGTGCCGTTAAAATGGAGGCTTTTTAAAAATTATTATTATATTATTTTTTTACCTGCACAAAGAGCATCAGCTGTGTGATTATGCAGAAGAGCTGTATGACATCACTCATGTGTGTGTGGTACAACATCGCTCTGACACGCTGCTGTAACAGAGCAGTGAAAACAATGCCTAAGATGGTAATATAGTTGCATCATTTAAAGTTACGGCTGAACTTTAAAGAATTCCGATTTCCCAACATTAGACCTAAAGTAACAGGGCAATATTCATACATTTGTGCAAGGCAGTGGAGTAACACGACTGTCGCTGTAAGTCACATGACAATGATAACATGACTTATTCTACACATTATATGCATATATTTATAATGGTCACAAAGTTCATTCCTTTTCTTACTCATACCGTATGCGATTTTGGACACACCACGTGACTCCAAAAGTACCTCGAACATTAGAGAAGAAAACAGTGGGCCTATCTATTATTGTTAGGTGCTATTTAGAAGGAAAAAAAAATGTATCGCAGTTTCCACAAAAATGTTCAACAGCACAACTGTTTTCAAAATTAATAATAATTCAAAATGTTTCTTGAGCAGCAAATCAGCATATTAGAATGATTTCAGAAGGATCATGTGAAACTGAAGACTGGAGTAATGATGCTGAAAATTCGGCTTATAAATTACATTTGAACATACTGTATATTCACATAGAAAACTGTTATTTTATTATGTCATACTATTTCACGATATTACTGTATTTTTTTACTGCATTTTCAGTTAAAAATATGCAGCCTTGGTGACCAGAAAAAGACTTATTTCAAAAACCAACCCCAAACCTTCGAACAAAAGTGTAAATCATTTAAATACAATGCTTAACAAATAAAACTTTATTTGTTTTATTTAAAGGCACTGCACTCTAAACATAGTGGAAAATGTCAGATAATATGAGTTATTTCAGCAGTAAGTCATGGATAAATACTCTGCACATGAACAGCATCACATCCTGAGAATGACTCCAGTAAAGCCCAGTGTGCTCTGTGCTATTTTTTCCAGTCCTTGTCAGACTGTATGATATGACAGCTGTGAGATCTCAGCTAAAGCTAAGGCATACTGTGAGACATCAGCTTTCTTTTACGTCAGACACTGTGATATACATATTTTGATTTTATTCACAATTGACATTGATAACTGGCTGCTTTACAACATCAGTCGTGTCACATTCGATCGTTGCACTAATGTTAGAGAAGAAAATACATTT